TTTTTTTTTTTTTTTTTTTTTTTTTTTTGTTTTGTTTTGTTTTTGTTGTGTTTGTTGTTTTTTTTTTTTTCCAGTAAACAAGAAATACTCATAATCTTACTGGTGGGAAAAAAAAAAAAAAGCAGTTTGTGAAAAACTGACAATGGAAGAAGAGCTTAATGCTCTGTTTAGCATTTTGTACTTAAAAAAAAAAAAATCTCACATTTTATTAAAAAGTGAAGATTGCTGTATACTATTTATTCAACTTATAATTTATGTTACTCTTTGATCTTTGTCTTTTCTCATGACAAAGCATTTATTTAATAAAGTTATGCATTCAGTTAGCTTGTGCCTGACCCTCGTAGAGTGTCTGCGTGCCAGCCCTGCCATCAGCACACTGTGCCTGAGGGCTCAGCTAGCTCTATGGGTCCGACAGGGCAAGGTGACCTGGTGGCAATGGCTTAGGCAGGCTTTAGACCCCAGAGAACTCTGCTAAGACAGAGGTAAATTTGAAAGGTTGAGCTTACAGCATCCTGACTGCTAAGCTGCAATTTTTTAGATGCTTATTTGCAGGGGCGGGGTTGGAGCACCCATGTTCTGCTGGGTCATGAAGGGAAAGAGAATTGTAGAGCCATAGAATCATTAAGGTTGGAAAGACCACCAAGATCATCTAGTCCAACCATCAACCCATGCCTGTGACCACTCTAAACCATGGCTCTTGGTGCTACATCTACCATTTTCTTGTAGGCCTCCAAGGATCTGGAGTCCATAATGCTGAGCACCCAGCTGCTATCCCAAATCTCAACACTTTAGTATGTGGTATCTGAGCCTCAAAGCTCTCCAGGCAGTGGGAAGTCCTACCCAAACATCTCAGTGAGCAGGAATGTCCCCATCCCATCCCTGCAGGGAACAAGCCCAGCCAGGCTGTAGTCTTCAGAAACCTCATGACAGTCCTCAGCGCCCCTTCCCACCACCCACATCCTCCCCTTCTGCTCACACAACTTTTCATATTCCCACACACTCCTTTGTCCCATGCCCCCATCCCCACCATCTGCATCAGTTGCCAACATCATTCCATGTACCCAGAGCAGCACAGGAGACAAAAAATATCCCCTTTATCCCCAAACAGGTGGCTGGGCTGTGCTAAGATACATCCTCTACCCTATATGCACCACCAGACCCAGCTGCCTGATCTGCAATGGACTCCTCACCCTGGGGCCAGAGCAGACTGTGGGGCCTGTATCCCACTGCCCCTCAGTGATACACAGCCCAAGGAAATCAGCCAACACCAGGGCATTTGTGCTGGCAGGCAGGAAAGCACTGCTGCTGAACTGTCAGCCGTGCCAGCACTGAAAGGTGGCTTTCCACATTGCCATTTCAGGGCTACGCTTCCTTGTTACCATCACCCCATGCCCATCAGGCCCACCCACAGCACATTCCATGCCACAGCCCTGGTTAGCCCAGGCCATGCAGAACCTCTTCCTTCAGCACTGCAATTTCAGCTGTTAAGCATGGCTTGCAATTGTTATCATTATTCTTTGCTTTGCCATGGCATCCCAAGCTCCTTTTGGCCACAGAGATTTTCCTTCTGCAGTCCAAGAACTCTTTGCACAGGCAGCAGAGACAAAACCAGCAAGGCCCAGGATGATCCCTGGAGAACAGGTCCATCTGCTGGCTGACAAACAGCATGACCGGCTGCAAGCACCAACTTGAAAAGCACCCAAAATCCTGAGGGCTGGGAATCTGGGAGGAGCTGACCTTCACCCAAATATTGCTGAAGTCCCAGGGGTGCCAGTGCTGAGCAGAGGGACTCTGTGCCCCTGCAAAGCTCTCACACAGCTCCCAGCTTGAACAGGGTGCTCCTACAGCACGTCTCCCAGCAACAACATTGTGCCAAAAACCACCTTTTTCCACCAAACCTGTCTGCCATCAGGCAGCAAAACTGCCTCCGCACATGTGTCGGGCAGATGCTGACTTGACAAGACTCAAAGGCATGGCTGCATTGTGCAGAACAGCAGAAACACCCGCGGAGCAGGAAGAGAGGGGATGGGGTGACACCAGGGCTTCCCAGCTCACACAACTGGGACTAGTAGGGGTAAAAACCAAACTCCCAATGATGCTCATTGGGCTCAGCATTTACAACACCCCCAGGGCAAAAGTCCAAGTTTGTGTGTGATGCAACAGGCAAGAAAACATGCTCTATTTAATAGAAAAGGTTGGGGAGGGGGAAGATGACAGTTTCCTGGCATCCTATTTAATTTATTCCAACTTTACGCAGCTCAGCGTCTCCCAAAGAGAAAAAAAAAAAACACAAAAAGAAAACTTCCTGGTTCCTAAACAAAACAAAAAGTACAAACTGCAGCTGACAGCCAGAGTGTGCAGGGTTTACATGGAAAAGCTGAACACTGTGCTGTTAACAGAAGACAGCAGGTAGCATCATTTTTACAGTTACTCAGTTCTGCATTCAGGCACATTCCCCCTCCCTTCCTCCCTCCCTCCCTCCCTCCCTCCCTCCCTCCCTCCCATACACACATCTCTCTCTCACTTTCCCACCACAGCCCCAAAGCATTTTCCTTTTCTCCTCCACTGACACTTCCAAACTCCTGCAAGGACATGAAGAGTTCAACCTGCACAGATCTTTGCGCTCGGAAAACTTCGGGCCAGGAAAGGGGGGAGGGAACAGTAACAAACCCCAGCATTCCCACTGCCGCAGAGTTTTGGGCTTTTTGCTTTTCTTTCCCCAGCCTCAAGTGCCCAAGTGAGCAGTGTTTGCCCCACAACCCCAAGGAGAGCATGCTGGCAGCACCCCTCAACCCCTCTGTGGGCCCATACCAGCCCTGCCCAAGGTCCCACAAAAAACTCCATATTTCTCCCCTTACTGTAGTAAGGATAAGAATGTTTGCAATTGTTTTGCAATGGAACCCACATTAAAAATGGGGGGGAAGGAAGAACAAGTCTCCTTGCTTCGGCGACAGGGAAGTTATTTATTCTCAGCGTCTGTGTGTTCTGTACAGAAAGAATCAACAGGTGAAGTAATGGCAGAGACATCAGTCCTCAGAGCAGCACGTCCAGTGCAAAACATCTCAGAGCGCCTGCAATTGCTTGGATTTAACCTATACAAACATGCATGTGGGCAGAGGGGTGCGTGTGTGTCTGGGCCTTTACAAAGCATGATACATACTGTACTTACAATAAAAAAAGTGTGTGCTGAAAAGCAGATGCTCACTCCTGTCCCAAGCGAAAATGGAGGGACAAGAGCAGCTGCTGGGAGTGCAGGTTTTAGATGGGTTTTTCCTATCTAGAAAGAAAGAAAGAGAGACACTCCCTGGCTTATTATCCTAAATCTACACAGGCATCCTTCCACCCAGCCCCGGCAAGTTCACTTTTGCTCCCTCAGCTTAAGCCAATCCTAAGAAATACCGGGCAGCAGCCCTCCAAACCCCTCAGAAAACCAAGCATTCAGCTCCACAGTCACCCAAAGGCCCCATCCTCCCAGAGCAGCAGGGCTGGCTGCAACCAGCGGTGGTTCAGGGGGCTGCCTCGTCCTTACCCTCCGGCAGTGCCCCCTTGAGGAACGCAGCTCATCATCCTGCCACACTCCAACTGGAAAGTAGGGACTTCCCTCCTTCCCACACCACATCCCACTCCAGGGCCAATATACAGGGGACAGGCAGGACACAAGAGGCAGTATTTACAGTCTTTGGTCTCGGGGAAGGGAGAGAGGAAGAGGGAAATGGAACTTTGTTGTTTCTTCTTTTTTTCTTTCTTTCTTTCCCCCTCCCACCCATGGTTAGATGTTTTGCCTGCAAGAATACGCCACAAAGCAGCAGGGAGGGCAGGGCCACGGGGCGAGGAGCAAAAAAGACTGGTTCTCTGGCTGACATTGGGCAAAAGACTATAGGAAAGCAGTCCCTTCTCCTTGCAACCTCCCCCCCCTCCCCCCCACCCTTCCCCTCCTGTCATCTCTTCCCTCCCCAAGAACTGGGGCAGCAGGAGGGCAGCACACAGGACCCAACCCCGGTCTCTTCCAGAGCCTAAAAGAGACATGCTGAAACCCATGTAAAAAATCCAGCACCGGGGCCACAGCAAGCAGGATTACATCCATCTACTGGCTCCGCAAGGCGTGTGCTCCCCGGTCCTCCTGCTCATGGGCTGTGTAGAAGAGGTGGCACTCGGGGTCCCCACGGATGGTGGGTGCACCCTGGATCACTTTCCCATGGATGGGGTCCACACACCAGCACTCTCCACGCTGCCCATTCACCGACATCTTGCACTGCAGAGAGAGGGATAGAGCAGACATCAGCTGAGGAGATACAGAGAGAAGACCACCCTCACCCCCATAGTTTCTCTGGAGATTCAGCACAGATGGCTTGGATGAGCCTGTGCTGTAGCATCATCACTGCTTCTTCCCTCAAACCACGGATGGCTGGACTAGATGATCTTAGTGGTCTTCTCCAACATCAGAGATTCTACAGATGGGACCACTGAGCTGATTTCAATAAACCATGAGGACAATCATCCCCAAATTACATTTCTCTTTCAACTGTGGATGAAAGCACCTAGAGACTCAACAATTCCCTGGGTGAGTAGGGATGAAATATGCTTACAGAGCAGCTGCATAAGCTTCATTCTGCCTGCAAATTGAGTTAAACAAAATGAATGTGACAACACGGGCCATGGACACACTCTGCTATGTTGGGGAACAGGATCTCAATCCCAGCACAGAAGCAGTGACCACAGCAAGCATGGACATGGCCTCTATACTCCAAAGCCTGCTCTGGTAAGAGAGAAGTTTCTTGCTGTAATGGCTATCATCCACCCCTTGCCTTTGCAAGGCTGTAGGCACCTTGTACCTACCTGGTGCTCATCCCCCCATACCCAAAATAAATACACCCCTGAACATGGCACAGCAGGATCCAGCCCCTACAGCAGATTCTGTATGCATTCTGCAAAGCTGAATTCAAGCCATTTTCTGCAGCTGGACTGAGATTAGAATGCAGCCTTGCCCAGGGGGGGAAAAAAGCAGGAGAAAAGATAAAAATAAAAATAGTAATTAAAAAAATGCTCCCCAGCATGAGAGCACATTAAGGCACCCTCCACCTTGTCCTGATTCACAGGAGGTCGGAGCAGCCAGGAATGCTTTTATTGGCATCTCCAATTTTCCAACCAAGGAAAAGGAGCTGACACTCAGCTCTGGAAACCCAGATGGACTGAAAACTGGGAATGGCCTCATGTTTGTCTTCACCCAGGGCAGGCAGAAGAGACAGCATTTTTGTTTCCTTTTTCTGCAGCTACGACCAACATGCAACTTCTGCATGGTGCAGAGAAGAGAAAGGACAAAGCAAGATTATCTCAGAGCAATCTGCTCTCTTCTAACATTTTTGGCTTTTTCTTTTTCTGGAAAAAAAAAAAAAAAAAAATGCTCCCAACCAAGGGATGGAAGTAGCTCTTAAAAAAAAAAAACAAAAAAAAAACTTAGCCATGAAAACAGCAGGATGTCTAGCTCTTCTCCAAGGGATCATTCTGCACAGCTATGAGAGGTGCTCACATCCAGGTACAATCAATGCAAGCCAGCCCCCAGATGGTGCTTTGTTGCTTAAGAGAGCTTCTGTCTGGCTGTAGATTCTACTGCAACATCTGCTGATGCCCCCAGAGCCTGTGACCATTCCTCTCACTGCAGATATCATGCATCCAGCTCTGATCCAGGCCCTGCGTTTGGTAAGGTTGATTTTGTCTGGCTACAAAGCTTTGCTGGGCAAAACTGTTCAGGGAAAGTGTGGGAATGAAACAGAGAGGAAAGGAAGCAGTCAGCACAGGTAAAAGCCTCTCCTGGGAGAGGCCCATGCCAGAAAAGCTTCAGCTCCTGTTTCCAACCTGAGCAGAAGAATCATCTCTCTCATCACTCTCTGTGCACAACCCACACCCATACTGCCCCCCAGCTTGTCCTCCTGCATATCTCCTGCAAAGCTGCAGACGTTCAACCTAGGAAGAAGCAAGAGAAAGGAGGAGACAGTGGTGCAGCAATGCTTGTAACCCTTGTTAGGAAACCACTATGATACAATCATTTAATTTGTGGTGGAACAAAGGCTTACTACACTACACAGGTACTGAGGATAAGCTCTCATCCTATTAGTGATGACATCTTGATGAGAAATGCAACTGCCCCATGTTTTGGGTCTGGACAGCAGACAGGCAGTCCACCCTGAGACCTGCTTCCTGCCACCCTAGGAGTTGGGCATAATCTCTGTGCAGTGCTGAGCATAGCAATGCTGCCAAGAATGCAAGCTGGCTCCAGGGCTCCTGCTCTTCCTACTTGCCTGCTTGAGATTGTACAAGCCATGCTTGTCACAGTTGGGGATGTGGAGGGAGTAGAGGTGCTCCAGGGGACCTCGCTCATCCGGCAGTCGCATGGTAGAGATGCGCTCCAGGACCTGATCCAGCTCCTGCTGACAAGGGGTCTGAAAAAAGCCAAGAAAACAAATAAACCACAAATGTACATCCTGGTAAAGGGACCATTTGCCATGTCATAACTTCAAATCTTCACATGGTAAAGAGCAAACTAATACCTAACTCCAAAGGCTAGTACCGAGCCAAGGCAGTCCAGTTAAAGTCCACCTGGACTTTAACTCTGCAGCTCATTGCCTTCTGCATCTGCTGTTTTTCTCCTAGACAAGCAGCAGCACTGTGGGGACTCTCTAAGCCAATGGTGCCAGCACCATGCCACAAAGCCACATCTGTCCCACAGACATCAGCCTGTGGGGCATCATCATTTGACCTAAAGGACTGCAGTTGCAAGGTTTATCTGGGACAGCACATGAAGTGTATGTTAGGGAGATGAGACCACAAACAGCTGCTCTGCCCGTTCCTTGGAGGTGAGGTTCTCAAAGTTCCTCTCCGTCCTTGTGCTCCTCAGATATAAATACCCCGTGTTGATATAGAAATATTACAAAAATTTTGGAGGTGGCTTTCCATCCCCATGCCATCTAGTTGCCTTGACCAAGCTGCCCACTAGAGGGAAACCACGGCCAAGGACAGGAGGGCAGCAGGCCAGATAGGACATTGGGCACCGTCCTGCTTCTTGACAACCCCATATAGCCTATTCTCAGGCTCACCCTCAGTCTGCACTGAGGCTATCCTCCAGCAGGCAGAGTTCCACACCATAAATCCCGCACACCATCCCTGGGGAGTTGCTTAGGGAAAAAAGGGTGTGCAAAAGCTGGGTTGCAGGCCAGGGGCGTGCTCACAGCCTGCGGGGGCTGGTGCTGAGCCAGCAAGACCGCCCTTCTCCAGCTCTGCTGTCAGAATGTGAAGCTGCAATGAAAATAACGCCTCCTCGCCAGCACATCAAAGTTCATCAGATGGTGCGTTCAACCTCAGCTTCAAGCCAAAATAAACGTTTGCTTTTCTTTTTCTTTTTTTTCCCCTCCCCTCTTTTCTCTTTTAAAGGCAGTTTGTTGTAAATGTCACTTTTGCATTCTGCATATCCTTGAGCTCTGCCTCCCCCCCCTCCTCCTCTCACCCTGCCTGTCGGCATCCGCGACTTCTTTGAATCCTCATGGTTGTGATGGACCTTGCCCACTTTGCCCATCTGCCGTTGCTGCTCGTTCACCTTCTCCCTCATCACCGCCAGCTCCTTCATGCCTGTTTTAATGGGTTTCCTGCTGCTGGCTCCACTCAACATCCCCCCAGTGCTGTCCACATGGTTCTCAGCAAGGATGCTCTCAGACCGGTCATCACCATTGTCTGTAGGAGAGAGAAGAGACAAGGAAAGAGTCAAGCTCAGCCAGGCCTCTCATGTGTTCATCCCATCCTGGATTGCTTTCAAGTGTGGCCAGTTACCAAGCCATAAAATCTTTGCATGCAAAAATTTTAAATTGCATTAGCTCTTTCATCTGGAAGGTGAGAATAGATTCTTTCATTCTGGAGTTATTATTACTGCACTAAAAGACAGTTTAGAGAGCAGGGGAAATCGCTGCTGGAGAAGTTCGTTTTGATTTTTCTTTGACCTTCTAAATTACTTCCCGAAGAATGTAATTTTCCCATCAGAAGTCTAGTTGGGTTAGTGATGCCAAGTGTGTTTCTGCTCCAGAACTGAAAACCACAGTGATTAGTAACAATACCTTGAGTCCATCTATCATCCCCTAGAGTATCTCCAGGAATACTTACTCAATATTAATGTGCTAAAATAAATTCTCAGGACCACTTTCAAAAATACCTTGCCTCTCTTTTATGGCCACCCTAATTTCCCGCAGAGATCCTGCCATTTCAGTAATCATCCCTGCCATATCATCTTTCACATCATTTGTCATGTGGTACATTACTCATTCAGCTGCTAGCACACAGCCTATCTACTGCTGGATTTGAGCGCTTCTTCTAACTGCAGAACCACCCTATGTGGCATACCAGCTCTGCCACAAGACCCCTACCTAATCCAGTCACTTCAAAATCAGCTGGCAAAAACGCTGGGATAACACTGGGCTCTTCTCACCTCCTCCACCCTCTGTTCTATCCTTCTGGTCCTATAGAGGTGACAAACACAAAGCATCTTTGCATACCAAGGAAAATCAGAGCACTCAGGCTCACATTCACAAACAAACACAGTCCAGAATGGCACTGGTATTTCTGATCTCAGCTTTATCATAGAATCATAACGGTTGGAAAAGACCACACAAAGATCATCTAGTCCAACCTGCACCCTAGATACTCATAATAAGAAATCACATTAAACCATGAACGAAAAGGGCTCACAATGCTTTAGTTCACATAATAGCACTTCATTTATGAGTCCATCCTGCTTTCTCTAAGTCTAAGCATGCAGAGCATCTTGATTTTCACATCTAGAAGCACTGAAGACTCATTAAAATTGGAAAAGACCTCTAAGATCACCCACTCCAACTGTCCACCTACCACTAACACTGCCCACTAATCCACATCCCTCAGTGCCACATCTCCACTTTTTTTGAACACCTCCAGGGACACTGGGGGACAGTATCACCTCCTGGCAGCCCATTCCATTGCCCAACCACTCTTTCAGATAAGTTTTTCCTAATATCCAACCTTCCTTGTAGAAGCTGCACTGTTATGTCCTGATAAAACATCACTGTACTGTCTTGATACAGAGTAAAAACATGGTAATAACAAATGTTTTATTTATGTCACAGCTTCCTGAGCTCTTGTCCACAGTGCACCATAGTGTATTACTACCCTAGGTTCCCAGAGGGGAAAATGCAAGAAGAGTTTTGTCCACAATTACTCAGAAAACATGTGGCTGTCTGTAGACTGACAGCAGAGCAGTCCAAGAGGGCTGGATCAGACACATCCCAGCATCCCATTCCCATCAGCATCTGTTTGGGGATGTAACTCAGAAGGACCATTCCCAACTTGTGCTAGAGACAAGTAGCAACATCACATCTGTGCTGGAAATTGCATCTGCTTGACAAGATTTAAAAGCCACCAAAGGACCCCATCCTTCGTGGATCTGTCCTATATCCTCTTGAACTTGCTCTTGATTTTGGCCCCAAATCTCTCTGTACTGGGATCAGCACACTTCCCAGAAATACTAAATGAGTTTTGTTTGCAAGTTTTTAAGCTGCTTAGGTAGCAACTGAAAAGCAAACACGGGGCAAAACCAATCTGGCAAAGCGCGTAACTTTCCTCAATACTGGTTCCAGACAAGAATTTGGATGAGGCTTGATAGCCAGATGGGCGAGCTCAATGTCTGGGCTGCTGCCTGGCAGTTGCTGCCTTGGCTATCATCCGAGGAGCTGGGCAAGGAATACTTTGGAGCAGGAATCTTCTATTTATCCACAAGACTCCCCGTTAATTAGAAACACACAGTGAGAAGAGAGAAGGCCACAAGGCTGCCCTTCAGACAGGATCAAATGAAAAAGTCGCACACAGAAGATGAGCAAGGCTAGCCAGAAGCTGAATCCCAATGAGCCACTTTAGGAGGGCTTTAGCCTTTTGACTTTTTTGTTGTCTTCTCAGTGACATCATGAAACCATCAACAACATGAGGAGAGTGAGTGTAGCAAGGCTGTATTTCGGATGCCATGTGATGCCCAGCTCCATTCAGAAGACCAGCAGTCTTCTGTCACAGAGTGACAGATAAGCAGTGTGATGAATGCAACAACCTTCCCAATCAATTCTTGCTTCTTCTGCCTCCAACTAAAATATATAGACATCTGCCCAAATAAGCACCACTCTAGTAAATCAAGGCAAGCTGGTAAGCCTCTTGTCGGCTGATTCATTCACAAAACCCGCTTCTGATAATATTTTCACTCATTTTTCTCACTTTCCAATGCTAACAAATATCAGCCCAAAGAAAACCCCTGGTGGGAGCAGAGCGTGCAAGCCCATGTGCACAAACACACCCAGGGACGGGAGAGGTCAGTCTTGGCTCCTTGGGCACCCGCCACAGGAACAAACCCAGAGTGAAGGCCAAAGAGGTCCAGCTGCTATCAACTGCAAGATTTCCTCCCTGCTGCTGAGCTGATCCACTTAGGGCTGAGTCCAGATCCCCAACACAGCTTTTCCATCTCCCAAAGCCCATGCTGCTCCTTAGCAGTTCTGACTGACTTGGGACTACCAGAGATGGCTTAAGGTCAAGAAGGACCTGTTTTTCCTGTCCTCTTGTTCACATTCATTCAAGTCATCAATCATGGCTTCCCCCTACTCCAGCAACTAGGAAAGGGGTCAAAATGGAGAAGATCAGTCCCAGCTTCCCTTCATGGAAGAGTTTCAGGTTTGGTGGGTCTCATTTTGAAGAGCTAAAAGGGACCAGGCAGCAATGGCAGGAGCAGAAACACTGAGTATTGACGCTGGAAGAACAGAGAGCCAAATAGTACCATTTACAGCCAAATAATACTTTGTAATGCTGCTCAAGAGAAAAGAGATGTTCATACATGCTTATTACTATAGATCAATTCAGCCACCTACCAACCCCACCAGCATGGGACGGGCAGGTACGGAATCGAGTCAGATACACAATCTTAATCCATTTGTCATCCCAGCAAACGCCTTTTTGCTGACCAACTTCAATTCACACTAAATATATCTGTGAACAGAGCAGTGCCAAACTCCAAAACAATTATGTTTTATAGTTCTTCCATTTTCCTATGGCATGTGGAAAACATCTTCTGTGCTATTTTGGATCAAAAGGTAGAGCGCTTTGTGCAGGGTGTGACAAGTGTAGCAAGAATCAAAGCAGATAGCTGAAGTTCTCCTGAACACATGAAACACCTCCCCCATGGCAAGAAAATGCAATTTTATTATGGCTTTTTTCAAGGAAAATTCCCATCAGCTTCAATGGGGCGAGGACTTGGCTGAGGTGAAAGCATATCCAAATGGCCATCAGCTAACGTCTGTATCGAGCCACTCAGTCTCGCCAACATTTTCAGAACCGCTACCAATTTCCAGTACTGTAAGCTTTCAGAATCTGATTTGAGACCTTTAGGCACCTCCACCAACACAGTAAAGAAACAGATAAGCTTACAAAGGATCTGCTGCTCCCTGAGCTGCAAGGATAAAAGCGTCATACAAAGAAAGGCAGCTGTCTGACACTGAAAACACACCTCGATCCTTCTGGAGAGCCCCAAAGCATATGTGGGCTACAGGACAGGATTCAGCAGGCTGCAAGCACCGTGGCATCACAGGGAGCTTGCACAGTGCCAAGGACCGCACTGCCCTCGCCAGAGCTGCTCTCCCTCTACATTCACTTCCCTCCAACAACACCTCGCTGAGAGGTTTTGCATGCACGTGTTTATCTAACCAGAGTGTTTATATAGAATTCAAGTACTGACTGAGGTCTCAAACTCACAGAAAGTTTCACCCAAGTAACCTTCAACACCTTGCCCACAGCCCCTCAGCTCTGTGCCCAGGATGTGCCCCAAGCTCATATCTCACCGGAGCTACCATTCTCCATCTCCAAAGCACATTATGGTCCACTAATGATTCTGGAGAGGGAGGCATTCTTTCTGGGATACACACAGTTATTTTAACAAGTTCTTCTCCCCATTCCCAGATGTCCAGGCCCTTGTCTTTTGCAACCTGAGAGCAGACAGAGCCTTTAAACCTGACTTTGAACATGCACCACAGCTGTGGCCAGTGATCAACTTGCAAAGGGAGGAGGGAAAAGGAGCAGACCCCAACTGCAGCCCTAATGATCTCTACCTCATCCTTCTGCAAAGTATTTCAAGAAGAGCTCTGGGCAAAGGTTCCTTTTTAATAGCTACAGTGTGGGTGTTGTTGACCCGGAGCTCAGATACCTCAGGAAACATTTCCCAGCAGGGATTATATCGGCACTGCAATTTCCTTGTGGCAAGGTTTGCCAAGAACAAAGTCCCCCCCAGCCCACCACACCCCAGAAAGGACCCAGGTTTACTGCCTACCATTGCCAGACTGGACAACACTGGTCCACTGCAGTATCCATCAGGTCTCAGTTACCACTGCGGGGAGGGGGACATGAAGGCATTGGTGTGTGGCCCAACCCCACACAACAGAGCCAGTTGGGATGCAGCTCTTCAGAGGCAGAATAAATCAAAGCATCCAATCAAGATTCATGCCCAGCTTCACACACACATACACAATCATACAATATACAGTGGGAAAATGCCACAGAGGGAGTGCAAGCAATAGGCAATGTAGAAGAGAAAGGGTGCAGAAGGGATGCATGGAAAAACCATCTCGCCTCAGGAAACTTCTCATAGAGACCAACTGGGGACAACTACAGGAATAGTAACTCAC